TGATACACACTCACCACCCTCTGTTATGCTCACATTGAATAATTCTGAACGCGTGTTGTGAAACATGAATTTCCAAGGATTTGTGCACACCGCGCTAAGTGTTCTTGGCGCTCTGCCGTGGGTCAGGCAGCAATGCCACCGCCCCAGGAGGTGGCCTGCTGCAGCACGTGGTGGGGGTGGACCCGGAGCCTTGTTGCCTTCAGAGAGGGAGCTGGGGAAGAAACGCAGTGGGGTGTCCTCTTCCTACCCAGAGAAGATGGGACCCCAGCCCCCCGAATTCTCACTCTCTTCTGGTTGAACTGCTTCGTCTGGTTAACCTTTTCTTCTTAAACTTTAGAAATTTTATGTCATGTGCCGATGTGCATCTCATCGTGTTTCCATGGGAACTGTTGACTTTTTTGAAATGGGGAATTGACTTATTATGTACTTACTTCTGAAATGCATGAGGTCTGCATGCCCTCCTCTGATCCTCAGAACACCTTGACAAGCAAGTTGTTCATAACTTAATTGTGGAAATGGGCCGGTAAGGATGTGAGCTCACGTGAACACAGAGCTCCAACGTGCAATGGGCTTCCACCACTTAGTCCTGGGAGCACACAGACGTTTAGTTCATTTAAATTTTTTATTTCCGTTGCTTTTTTTTGTTCCTTTTATCAGCAGCTGAGAGAGAAATCGCCCAGCTGGTCATTTTATTCACTGATGAGAATTTTTCTTCCATCTGCACTTTTAAATCAAGCAATCACAGTTTTCAACTGGAGGCAATATTCCTGATTGAAGGGTTACTGTCATCTGAAATTTTACTAAGAAAAGTAAACTAGGAAATTTAAGCATTTCCTTTGGATGCTGCAGTAAATTCTTCACATGAGGACATTTCTGATGACACAGATTATCGCTTTGCTTTTAGTGGCTGAAACTTTGTGTGGATTTCTCTGTGTTCATTCATTCCTTGTCAGTCCAGCTGTGAGGAGAGCAGCTGTCTATGGGTCCCTGTGGTTGGATCTGAGATGGGTTCTTGCCCAGATTTCATGGGACTCAAATCTTTCAGAAAGAAGGAATGGTTGTCGTGTCTCTCATTTGATTTGACAAATCAGTCTATCGTGGGGAGGGCACGGCCATCATTCTGGCTGGGAGCAGCGGACGGGCCGGAACCTCACTGGTGTGAATGTCTTCTGCGGGTTTGCCGCTTTTCCTTGCGGGTCTCGTTGTCTCAGCCGTCAGTCTCTTTAATACCAGGAATGCTGTTGTGGTTCAGTTGCTAACTGGGGTCCGACTCTTTGCGACTCCACGAACTGTAGCGCGCCCGGCTTTGCTGTCCTTCACTATCTCCTGGAGTTTGCTCAAATCCATGTCCATTGAGTTGGTGATGCCATCCAACCGGCTCATCCTCTTCTGCCCTCTCCTCAATCTTTCCCAGCATCAGGGTCCCTGCCAGTGAGTTGTCTCTTCACATCAGGTGACCAAAGTATTGGAGCTTCAGCTTCAGCATCAGTCCTTCCAATGAACACCCAGGGTTGATCTCCTCTAGGATTAGCAGGTTTGATCTCTTTGCAAGCCAAGAGACTCTCAGGAGTCTTCTTCAGCACCATAGTTTGAAAACATCAATTCTTCGGCACTCAGCCATCTTTATGGTTCAACTCGTATCCATACATGATTATTGGAAAAAACCGTAGCTTTGACTATACGGACCTTTGTTGGCAAAGTGATGTCTTTGCTTTCTGATACACTGTCTAGGTTCATCATAGCTTCCTTCCAAGGAGCAAGCGTCTTTAATTTCATTTGTAAATGAACCAGCAGGAGTAGCCGTGGTCTTCAGACCTGCTGAGGGTGATGTCTCCATGCCCACAGCTCTCACCTGACCACTGAGCTGGAAGCCTCGTTAAATTGGTTTTTTTTCCTAAGTGTTTCGTGCTAATACTCAGAAAATTATGCTTTGTGTGTCTACAGCCATCCGCAGGTTGGCCTCACTCTGCCTGGCTTGTGTGTCCGGGTTACGGAGGCCCTGGAAGAGCCTGGGGACCACTCAGGACGGTGCATGGCTCACCACACTCCTCCAGCCCCCAGAGGGACACTGCCCGCCCTCCCTGTGACCCAATTTGATGTCCTTCTGCCACGTGGATGGGAGAAGGGCGCTGTAGTGCCCCCAAGACTGAGCAGGCTCTCCGCTATTAAGCTTCCCCTCAAAATAATTAAACTCTGTCTCCTTGTTCATGGTGCTCCCAGTCACAGAGTTTCTGCTTTAGAAACTGTTTTCACGGCCCCACTCCCTCCAGGGAGCTGCATCCAGGGAGACTGTCCATATCTGCCTGTCGGTCCCACCCAGGGCACCACAGTGAGAAAAAGAGATAAAAACTGATGAAGATTTGAAAGATGGAAATAGAGCTCCTCTTATCTGCCAGGACATAAAAAGTCCTAAGGAATCTTTAATATTAACTAGAATTGTCAGACAAATTTCAAAATCACTATACTTGTTTGCTCAAGGAGGTGAAAAACAAAATTTTAAAAAGGTAGTGGACAGCTGGGAATGATAAAGGAAGCAACATATTTGAAAAAAACTGATGAGAGAAACCAGAAATAAAAAAATCATAATAACTGAAATTTAAAATGCTATGGCTTAGCAACTGAGCAGGCACAGTGCAGAGGTAATTAGTAAATTGAAAGATATCAGAAAAAGAATATCTTTATGATGAATCATAATAAGCCACAGGGATCATATACATAGAATAGAAGGTGAGATACTTTGAAGGAATGACAGATGCATCTAACATACTAAATTACAGACCCAGAAAGAGAGAGGGGCTAGAATAGAGGAGAAGCAAAATTGAAAAGACAGTAGCTGAGAATTTTCCCAAACTGGAGAATGGTGTTGGTGTGCAAACCTCAAACAGTATAGATTAAAGATGGATTTATGTGGCCACTTGATATATGTTAGTCACTTAGTTGTGTCCGACTCTTTGCATTCCCATAGACTATAGCCTGCCAGGCTCCTCTGTGCCTGGAGAATTCCAGGCAAGAATACTGGAGTGGGTAGCCATTCCCTTCTGCAGGGAATCTTCCCAACCCAAGGATCAAACCCGGGTCTCCTGAATTACAGGCGGATTCTTTTCCATCTGAGTCACCAGGGAAGTCCACAGTTGCATTGAAAAGCTGGCACTCACTGCAAAATGAAGCAAGAGTGGAGTTTTCAAAAAATTTGCTGCTATGACAATACCAATTAAAACCACCATGGGATACCAATACCCACTGGCTAAAACTTAAAAATAGAAAATGCTTAGTGTTGAAATGCTGCGAAGCAGTGAGCACTCTAATACAGTCATGGATATGAGTGTAAATTTGTCCAACAGTTTGGAAAACTGTTCAGCATAGGTTCGCTCCAAGGCCCAGGGATCCCACCTTTAGGCAAGAACCCCATGGTCGTGCCAGAAACTGTGTTTAAGCACGCTCAGCACTTTAATCACTCGCAAAAGTTGAAAACTGGAAACTCAGACATAGACATTATGAGTAAATTAAGGATCTGCAGCTGATCCATGCCAACGTGGACGGTGCTCGCAAACGTCATGTGTTATGTGAAAGCAGCCAGACATAAGGCTGCGTTTGTGTAAAGTGAAAAATCAATGCTAGATGAAACTGCAGTGTTTAGTGATCAAAACCTATGTGATATTGATCTAGAAAAAGCAAGGCACTCATTGCCATGAAGACCACGGTAGAGATTGCTGATGAAGGGGAAGGAGGGAGGGAAGGGAATTCAGGAAAGCCCTGGGGCCCCGCCTCTGTGCTGTGATGACTTGGTGCTTACCCACCCTTGCTTTGTAATAATTCAGTAAGTCAATATTGATGTCTGTTTGTGCGTGTTTAGTCGTTCAGTCGTGTCTGACTCTTTGTGACCCCATGGACTGTAGCCCACCAGGCTCCTCTGTCCATGGGGATTTCCCAGGCAAGAATACTTGAGTGGGTGGCCATTTCCTTCTCCAGGGGATCTTCCCCACCCAGGGATCGAACCCGTGTCTCTTGCGTCTCCTGCATTGGCAGATGGATTCTTTACCACTGCACCACCCGGGAAGCCCATTTAAAAAAGGCAACAAAATGGTTTTAAAATAAAAGTGTTTAGGCATTTTGAATGGCCAGTCAGGGAATTTCACAAGGACTTCTTGTTGACACCCTACGATCAGGACATCAGGAGTCACTGAGAGAAGCTGGGGGTCACGGAACAAAGTCAGGTTATTGTCCTGGAAATGGAAGCCCCTTTTGAGTGTAAAAAGGAAGGTGCAAAGAACAAACCATCCTAAGCTCCCGGATGGCTGTCTCGCCACTTTGTTAAGATGTTACTTAAGCCAGAGGCTGAGAAAGACCTAAGTAACCCCTCCTCTAGTTCTGAAAGACGATGAACTCAACCCCACGGCGCTAGAGAAATGACACCTCTCTGTGTCCCAGAGATTCTGGCTGCCAGCCTCTCTATTTGCCGTCTCTTTCTGTCCCTCTGGCAAGTTCTCCCCAACACTGGGTTGTTAGTAAAAAAGAAGGATACAGAATTGTTATGCAAGGACTGAATTATGTTAAACAGTGCTGGAATGTGAGAGATGGGAGCTTCTCAGATGTAGACGGCTCCACATGAGCTAAGAGCATCTTTCTGCAAACTTTTTCTTCATGGAAAAGACAATTTAGCAAATCTGAGAGGGGCACATTACCATTCCTAGAGGAAGTGTAATTTTCGTGGGTGATTTCGTTTCAAGGAGGAAACGTTTTTCTAGTGCAGAACCGAATGAGGGGTGGTGGTAGTTGGGGCTAATGACAAGCAGTGTGAACAAAATGCATAAATGTTTAATTTTGGCTCAGACACACCAGATGCAAATTTCCTGTTTCCTCAGGCAGTGCAAATACTGATCGCTTATATGATTATTGTGAATGAGGGTCAACTTTTGGTTTAAGAAAACATAGCTAAAATATTAAATATTTATATCACAGAGTTACTGCAGCAGGGGGCAGGGCTCCTCGCTGTGGGGCTGATGCTGAATCGTGGCCGCTTCCCGTCCCACAAGCTGCTCCTATATCTCTCTGCGGGCTGTTGGTGGGGCTGGGAGCAGGACGAGCTCATTTACTGTCTCGGGAAAACAAAGCCAAACAGGGATTTCCCCCTGAGCAGCTGCGGCTGCACAGGGGGATTCAGAAAGCTCAGCTGTGAGAGGCCGTGCACACTGCTCCAGGTAGTGTGTGTGAACTGAAGCTGTGGGCCGTCGGTCCTTGGGCTGTGAGAGCTGAGGTGGCTGGCTTCTCTGCTGCTGGTTTGTTCAGGAGAACACCACAACGCTGGTGGAGAGAAGCCCTCCCAACTCGACACTGTGAGAGTCCCGCAAGGAGGTCATCTCTGCCCCTTCCTGCAGGCTAGGATCCCGGGAGGCAGGCTGGCAGTTCTGCTGGGCTGGCAGGGAGATTTTGTCTCTGCCTTCTGGTGAACTGGGGTGGGGGGAGGCGAACCATCCCACTGATTTAGAATGTGCGCAAAGACATCACGTGTGTATAAACACATAAATATACACACATAGGCATGCATACGTGCTAAGTCGCTTCAGTCGTGTCTGATCCTTTCTGACCCCATGGACTGTAGCCCAGCTGGCTCCTCTGTCCGTGGGATTCTCCAGCAAGAACACTGGAGTGGGTTCCCATGCCCTCCTCCAGGGGATCTTCCCGACCCAGGGATCGAACCCACGTCTCTTATGTCACCTGCAGTGAGAGGCGATTTCTTTACCACTAGTGCCACCTGGGACGCCCATACACACACATATATATCTTTATATATTTTATCTATATTCATATAAGTATGTATTATAAACATTTGTATATGTATATTATATGCACATATAAGCTAGAGCTTCCCTTGTGGCTCAGCTGATAAAGAATCTCCCTGCAATGCTGGAGTCCTGGGTTCTATCCCTGGGTTGGGAAGATCCCCTGGAGAAAGGAAAGGCTACCTGCTCCATTACTCTGGCCTGGAGAATTCCATGCACTATACAGTCCATGGGGTCACAAAGAGTTGGACACGACTGAGCGACTTTCACGTAAGCTTGTATTATTTGTACTTATTTTAATATGTATATATGTATATGTTTATTATACACATATATGTTTATACATATATATTACATATATTCACTCATATATGTGTATATATTTGTACTTGGAGATACTGCTTTTGTATACACACACACCTGCCCTGTCACACACACCTGTGATGGGGATGGTGTGAAGGAGGGAGGGACGTGCCAGCCCCCCTTCCCCACTGTGGACAGTGGTGCTCACGTGGCACTTGCTGTGGGTGCCCCAATTCTCATGGGAACTGTGAGATCCAAGCCCCACACGGGCCTGGCCTAGGACCGGGCTTCTCCCCACGGTGTTCTGAGTTTGATGAGAAAGTCCGGCCTCCCTGACAGTTTTGGTGGTCACCAGCTTTCTTGCCCGGAGAAGGCAATGGCAACCCACTCCAGCACTCTTGCCTGGAAAATCCCATGGATGGAGGAGCCTGGTGGGCTGCGGTCCACGGGGTCTCAAAGAGTCCCACAGGACTGAGCGACTTCACTTTCACGCATCGGAGAAGGAAATGGCAACCCACTCCGGTGTTCTTGCCTGGAGAACCCCAGGGACGGGGGAGCCTGGTGGGCTGCGTCTATGTGTTCGCACAGAGTCGGACACGACTGAAGTGACTCAGCAGCGGCAGCTTTCTTGCCGAGGCCAACAGCTCCAGCCAAGATTTTCGGAGGTCTCCACGAAGACTCCTTTTCCTAAAGCGAGACCGTGTTCTTCCTGCCAGCCATGGCAGGAGTCTCAAATTCAGGGTCAGGTTGGCGACCCCAAAGCAGCTCAGTCTGGGGGCTGGCTGGGCGGTGACGCACGTGGGCCTCTCCCCGAGCGGTCCAGCGGTCTGCTGCACCATCTTAGAGCTCGGCCCAGCGCAGCCGGGCTTCACTTTACGTCTGTTTCCCGGATGTCAGTGCCTCAGTCTGCGGACCGTTCTACCCCTCGTCCCGGGGCAGGGAGCCGAGGGGCGCCGCCCTGGTCTGACGGTCACTCCTGCTCAGAAGCGGCTCTGTCCCCGCTGGGCAGCGGACACAGCACGCACAGGCTCCCGTTTTCAGAACACGCTGCAGCTCTCAACACAGCGCCGATCTTCTCTTAAATTCAACTGCTCCTTGATCCTGTGTCTGCATTTAGCGTTTCAGAAACGTCCCCACAGGAAGAGACACACAAGGGAACTTCTAAGTCCAAATGTGTCCACAGGAGGAGGCTCAAAAAGCCCTTCATGGCTCAGCTGATTGTAACATGGAGGCCGGCGTGGCCTGTGGCCCTGTGGGGGCTTTGGGATTCGGGAGGTGAAACCATTTTCTTAGACTACAGCTTTGGACCTCTTTCCTGAATGCTCCTGGCTTTCTGCATCTTGGTTTGGCCTGCCCGCCCGCTCTGTGCTCCTGGTTCTCATTGCATCCCTTGGCCGCCTCTGCTGTGTCCTCTGAAGCTCAATGTCGGCCACTGCAGCCTGCACCCGGAGGTCAGCTGAGGCTTAGCTCTCAGCATTCACAGGCCACGATGTGGGTTTGGCTGGGTGGGCTTTGTGCTCTGGGAAGGGGCCCCACCCTCGCGGCCACCCGCCTGTGCCCTCAGCCCGGGCTGCGTCTGGACACGTCCGTGTCTATCTCTTGGGGCTCCTCCATCGGAGCCTGGGCACATGGTCCCAGAGCAGCCTCACCCCCACGCCTGCAGACCGAGGCGGGGAGTGCGGTGCAGCCCGGGGTGGCTGGGCGCGCAGTTAGTGTCTAGATGAGGGAGAAGCCCGCATTCGTGGTGGCTCAGCCATGTCCCTGTTCTTCCAAACTGGCTCAACACAGTGCTGCTGAGCTGGCATGGCAGCTCTGCCCTGGGGCGTTGGACGTGAGTGGGGTGTTTTCGGCTGCCATGACTCGGGACTCTACCAGCATTTAGAGCCTGGAGGCCAGGGACGGTCACTATCTTACAATCCAACAGGATGGTGCCATAGGCAGAGCAGCTGGCCATCCCAGGGAGCCCCCCCCACCGCCCCGCGAGATCCCTTCTGACTCAGGCTTATCCTGCTCTGGCTGCATCTCTGCACCTCCCTGGTTCCGGGGCGCCCTGAGGTCAGGCCCATAGCCGGGCGCTGTCTGGTCCTGAGCTCACAGTCCATGGAGTTTGCAGAAGTAGCGGGTTTCTCCAGACAACCATGGCCTCATATGCGCCTCCCAGGGCTGGCTTTTCAAAGGCGGTCACTTGTCCTGATTTCCCATCCCTTTCCTCCGCCCCAAAGCCCGATCGTGTTCCTGGCCACAGGCAGATGGGACCCAAGGTGCTCGCTTCTTGCAGGTGTGGACACGTGCACCTGACTCTTCTGTAAATGAAATGCTCTCTGGGTTTTCGCTGGGGACACACAGTTAAGGCAGATGCCATTGCTTCTGCTGGCTGTGGCTTCCTTCACATTTTCCAAGTGCAGCTGGAGCTAGACTATCAAAGAGCTGGGTTTGTAAGAAGTCCTTTGGCGACTGATGAAGATGGTCCTGCGTTAAACACAATCTGGATTGAAGGGAAGTGCAGTAGACGCATTGCGAACAGAACATAGATTTGATTATGAAACCTCCAGAAACACGCTCCATTCCTTATCACAGTTTCAGAAGTCCTGGGGAATGGCTCAGATGGACCGATCGTACATGGCTTGCACATTTTAATTCTGCAATGAAGGTGCTTATTATGTGAACTCTCAATCACATCTCCCTTCTGAGATGTGGAATCCTAGCTGCTCAGGACCGCACCTGTCCCTGGTGATGTGTGGGTCAGGGCTGGCCCCTTCAGAAGGGAGGTTAGGACAAGTTAGCTCCAGATGAAAGGTTACCCTGGACTTTCTGCAAAAAAGCTTAGAAGTCTACCTCAAAATAACCAGGCTGACTTCAGTACTGCATGTTGGACCAAAGTTCAGCATTTTTGTAGCAATATGTCGTCTGATGACATTAAAATCGCAACGCCTGGCATTTAACCAAAATACCAGGTATGCGAAAAGCATGAAAATAAAACTCATAACCAGGAGAAAACTCCATTAATAGAACTATACCCAGAAATGACATTATGAAATTAGTAGATAAGGACATTGAAACAGCACACCACACACACACATACACACACACACACGTGAACTTGAAGATACAATAATAGAAGCCAAACAAAACAAAACACAAAAGCAGACAGAAAAAAGGGACAGAGCATTAGAACTTTTGAGAGAATTTCAAGTGGTCTAAAATATGTGTAATTTGAGTCCTATACACAGAGAACAAAGAGGTACAGAATATCATTTGAAGAAATAACAGCTGAAAAAATGCAATTTGCTGAAAACGATAAACGCAGAGATTCAATAAGCTCAACAAACGACTAGCAGAAGCAGCAAAGAAAGCGCAGCAGGTCAGCTCACACACTGAACAGGCTGAAAAGAAAGCAAGCCTTAAAAGCAGCTTATATAAGAGAAGCACAGATACGTATTACATAATTGCATCAGACGCACAAAGCTAAGAGTAACAGACTTTACATCAGAAATAACATAAGCAAGGAGAAACCAGAGAGACACTTTAAAACTGAAAGGAAGCTACCCTCAACTGAAAGTTTGACGCCCGGTGAAAACATCTTTGCAAAGTGAAGGTGGACTTTGGCTTCTTGGTAAGATAGCATCCGCCTTCAGGAAGCAACTGTAATCCACACAGTGCCAAAAGGTTCAGCGTGAAAAGTGAGCGGAAGTACGCAGACTGTGGGGGAGAGCCTGCTTGAGGAGGAGACACGGGGAAGCACCCATGCTCACGCCCATCTCTGCGGCTCACCCTGTGCTAAGCGCAGCCGACGCGGGCTCGGGGCAGCACCTCGTGGATGAGCCTGCCATCTCTCTCCCCGCGGGAGCCAGAGTCAGGCTGGGGAATCACAGACTGCAGGGAACAGGAGACTGTTGGCGGGCAGAGTGGAGGAGAAGCCACCCTCCGTCGACCCCCATCTCTGAAGCACCCCGAAATACTCATGTACGGAGCACACCCCGTGTAGCTCAACCCAAGGAAAACTTCATGAACTGAACTGACCCCCGAGAGAGAGTTTGCCCTTCAGACTCAGCCAAGGAAATCGACCTGCTAATAAAAGAAATGATGGTTTTCAGATAAAATAACAAATTCTGGAGTCTCAACATCTGAACACAGTTTCCAAACTACAATCCAAAGTTACATGACATGTGAAAAACCAAGAAAATGGAATGCATGCTCAAGAGATAAGGAAGAACAAGTAATTTGATGAGAATCTGGCATGAACACAATGTCAAAACTATATTTTAAGAGGTTATCATAATTGTCCTAAATAAAGTAAAATGAAACGATTTTATTTTACCTTTATTTATTCTTTCTCTAATGTTCTTTCTTTATGTAAGGCTTGAATATCTTGCCTGTATTATTTTTATTCTCTATGAATAAGTTTTGATATTTTCTGCAAGGCTGCTCTCCATTTAGTTCAGTCACTCAGTCATGTCCGACTGTTTGTAACCCCGTGGACTGCAGCACACCAGGCCTCCCTGTCCATCACCAACTCCCGGAGTTTGCTCAAACTCATGTCCATCGCGTCAGTGATGCCATCCAACCATCTCATCCTCTGTCGTCCCCTTCTCCTCCCACCTTCAATCTTTCTCAGCATCAGGGTCTTTTCCAAGGGGTCAGTTCTTCACATCAGGTGGCCAAAGTATTGGAGTTTCAGCTTCAGCATCAGTCCTTCCAATGAATATTCAGGACTGATTTCCGTTAGGATGGACTGGTTGGATCTCCTTGCAGTCCAAGGGACTCTCAAGAGTCTTCTCCAAGACCACAGTTCAAAAGCATCAATTCTTTGGTGCTCAGCTTTCTTTATGGTCCAACTCTCACATCCATACATGACTATTGGGAAAACCATATTTGCCCTGTTCAAAAAACAAACAAAAATGTGTTTGCTTGTTTTCTGGCCAAGGCCGAAGACCTCTTCAAGCGGAGGTGTATGTACAAAGGATCTGACAGGATGGGAGGGTGCAGGTCAATCCATGTGCCAAAAAATTCAGAGAATCTGTTGCAGCTGTGACTCAGGCCTTTTTCAGAAACAGCCCAGCTTTGATGATTCACTGGACGGGAGTCACCCCAGAAGTTCCCTTGAAGGGATCAAGTTTCAGGAGTCCTGGCAGCAAATACCCTCATTTTATTTATTTATTTTTTGTTTGTCTTAGAAGACTATTTCTCCTTCATTTATGATGGAAAATTTCATAGGATACAGAGTTCTAGCTTGTTGATTTTGTTTTCTTCAACGTGCAATACTTCCCTCCACTCTCTTCTTGGCTTCTGAAGGAAAGTCCAATGTAACTCTTATCCCTGTTCCCTTACAGTTGGGGTGTTCTTTCCCACCCCAGCCTGACTCCTTAACATTCTGAAGTTTGAATATAATATTCCACAGTGTATATAATATAATACTTTGGATATTTATCATGGTTGGTGTCCGCTCAGATTCTTGAAACTGTGCCTTAGTGTCTGTCATTGATTTTGGAAAATTTTCAGCCATTCTTACTTCAAATATGTTTTCTTTCTTCCTTCTCTTTCAGGTACCCTCATTATAAAATGTTATACTTTTTGTAATTATCTCACGGTTACTGGACATTGTGTTTCACATTTTTCATCCTTATTTATATTTGTTTTACAGCTTTAGAAGTTTCTATTCACATATCTTCAAACTCACTGTTTTTTTTTTTTTTTCCCTGGCTGTGCCAGTCTGATGAGTCCGTCAAAGATAGTCTCCGTTTCTATTTTATTATTTGTAGCACCTCCTTTTGGTGATTTCTTAGAGTTTATGCCCTCCTGCTTACATTGCCAACTCTGATCTCGTATGCTGTTCACTTTTTCTATTAGAACTCTTACCGTATAAGCAATAGTTATGTTAAATTTCTGGTCTGATCCTTCCAGAATCTCTGTCACGCCAAGGCAGGTTCTGAGGCTGGGTTTGTCTCTTTAGCCTGTGTTTTTCACCTT